CCCCAAAACCCCAAAACCCCAAAACCCCGTAGTTATAGAATTAAATGATTTATTAAGAATATAAAATAACAATGATTTTAAAAGTAAATCAATCTGCTTTATCTGGTATCAGAGTTTATTGATACTCTTGAGTTTGATTTTTTATCTATCGATAGTTCTTACTGGTACAGAAGGGTCATGTTTAATATTGTTTAAAGGTATAATTTTCCTGTTTTAAATTGTACTTTCTGATGCTTTTTGGTTTAATTAAGATTTCTCTGGGGTGAAGTAAATTATTTTATCGATATTTTTGTTAATGCTTGATTCCAGATGCCGATTATTCTGTTGAATCATTTCCAAGGTATGCAGACTTTGCTGCTAAGCACTCCCTTCTTTTCTTTTCAAATTCTTAATTGTATGCGAATATGAGTCTTCAAATTAATAAGGAGATGATGAGCTGAACATACCTTTAATTCCATCAGAGTTATTTTTAAACAGTGGATCTTTAACTTTTGTTAAGAATTAATCTACTTACTAATCATAGCAGTCTTAAACTGTTGGTTGATTAGCAGAGAAAGATTCCTTCTTAAAGTGCCCTCTTTCAATGGAGTTCTAAATTGTTGAAAAGTTCTTAAAGCTATTCTTATCTCTAATGTCAGGTAAAAGACCATTTCTATTGCTTTTATTGTCTATACCTATCTGATGTAGATCATTGATGCTATTAGCATTAGTTAACTAGCGACTCTTAAGGAATCTCCTAGAACTCTCAAGGTTATCTTCAACTTCTATTATAGGAGATGACTTTTCTCGAGCTCCACCTTATCTTGTGTACAAATTATGCTTAGGTGGAGTCTATCCTTTAAATACTTAAGGAGTCTTCCCACTTGAGTCTAAGTACACCTTTAGTCTTTATTATAAATCTACAATCTGTTATTCTTGTAATTGAATCTTCCTCTTCATGTCTTTCAGTTTTGTTTGCTCTATTTATCTGAGTTTTAATGTGGTTGTCTTCAATTATTTCTAGGCGTCTTCAGCACTTTGACTCACTTTTCTCAGCACAATCTCCTTCTTATCAAGCTCTTATTCTCTTTGTTAAAGTGTCTCCTTTAGATACTTCTGCTTTATTTTATTTTTGTCTGACTTAGTTTTCAATTGATCACATAGATGGTCCATCTCATTTTTGTAGTCCAAAAGGTTCTTTAAATCTTGGTAAATTTGATCTTTTTCATTTGAAGTAGTTTATAAATCAGTCTCAATTATCAACTTATCAGTAGTAAGCTAATTTATTTAAGTTTATTAAGACTTTAGACTTGTCTAGGCCTTAGATATCTGCACCTCTAACTCCCTCAGCCTATTTTCACTTTAATTGAACTCTTGGTTTTTTGTTTAAAATTAGAGGCTTGTTTACTCTAATGAATTCTAGAGTTTATTGACTTCTTATTAAAGCTGGTCATTAATTTCTTTCTATTTCTTTAGCTTCTTTTTCAAAATATGATATTTTTAATCTTAAGTTGTCGATTTTTAAAGTAAATCAGAGTATTGTTTCTCTGTAATAATTTCGCATTAAGTATTTGCTTCATATTTTTCTGGGATAACCACTTCTACTTAAGCTTTTACTTGAATTTACATCATTGATGAAATTTAGTCTTTAAGCTCAGTCATCTCCTCCTATTATCTTTTGATCATATTATCTTTTTCAATCGATGCTTCATTAATCATGTTTTATATTTAATCTTCTAGAGCTTTGTATACCCTTTAGTCCTCTTCCTTTTACATTATTTTTCCATCTTCTATCTTTGATTAAATCTCATCTTATGCTTTTTATAATTAATTTTCCAGAACTACCTTTTCATTCAAAGCATTTTCAAGTCTAATTGTGAATTCATACTACTCATTAGAGTGTAGCTACTTGAGTTATTCCATTTATGCTATAATTTCAGCTTCTTTTTTTTCCAGTTACTATTTCAATTCCGCGTACTATTTCTCTTAATCCTCAACCTAAACTCTCTACCTATGCAGTTCTTCCTCTTCAGCCTGCTTTTTTGTCATATAGTCATTCTGTTGCTCTTGCATTCTAATTTCAAAGAGTCTTTCTCGTTCTTTAAGATCTCACTCCTTCTGATCATAATGCCTTATCTTTTCTCTCAGTTCATCATTGCTCATTTTTATTTGTAGCTAGTTTATTTAATTGTATTTTAAGTAATCTCAATTTTAAATTTGTTAATCTTTCATTATAATCATATCATGGGGTTTTGGGGTTTTGGGGTTTTGGGG